TCTTTTCTGCTGTATCTTCTGGCCCTAGAACAGTTAAGTAAAACACTCAGTGAAACTCTGTTGAATGAAAGAATAACTGTCTATTGGGAAATAATTCACAACAGGAATCCTACACTTCCACAAGTCTGTGGGCAGAGGCACTGACAGTTTTTTGTCCCAGATTATGATTTGGAGATTGTTTTCATAGCAAACTACTTTGGAAGATAGATATAGTGTCTCCCTCTAGTGGAGGGCAATTGTTTGCTCTTTAATATAATAAAGATACTGTCTGGGGCAAATGATGGATGGGTTTGCTTGCAACCCATTACAAAAGATTGGAATTTCCTAAGTTCTAGGTTCTTCAGTGTGTTTAGTATTACCCAACTCTAGCCCCATATCTCTTCTATAGGACTTGGAGATTAAGGGAAACTGATTTGAATGTGAGCCTCATGCTGACCGCTGTGCTATGAGTAATAAAAAGTCCTTTGTCTCTGGTCTTGGAGTCTCAAGTCTTTTCCTGGCATCCATGAAATCTGTGGCAGGCTAACTTGTTAGATTGCAAGAGTAGAATTTCAGACCCTTCCAAGTTTGGACAATGGCCCTCATTGCCTTTCACTACAACAATTGAGACTTCATCTCTCAACCTGCCCAAACACTTGCCTCTGATGTCACCGTTCCTCTTAGTGTCCCTTAGAGCAGAGATAATTCATTCCATGCTTTAGTGCTGGTAGGATGTCTCCTGTCTCCCTAACTTCACCTCTAATCACCCCAGTCCTGCTCCAGCTCGGGCAACCCCACCCCCGCACACCCTCTCTGCTTTTGCATTTATACCCTTGGAGTGCTGTTCCCTCCGCAAGAGCTGACCTTTCTCTATTCTGTCTATACATCATTTGAAGGTAGCATCTTCCAACGCCTGCTCAGAGCCCAGACAGAATGTGCTTCTCCTGCCCTGTCTCCCTCCCCACCCGCCACATTTACTCATCTGGTAGGGCCCTTCAACCCTTCTGGTTTGTGTGGTTACTACCTGGGTAAACATTCCTCTAGAGCTTCCTTTCCCTCTATTTAGATCCTCAGTTTTTGTAGTCCCTGCTATACAGTAGGAGCTCAACAGATGAGCGTTGTGCTGAAAGAGTGCAAGGAACGGCCTTGCACGGTGGTTTCACGGAAGGTCATTGGAGGGGAAAAGGCATTCTAAGCGAAGGCGACACGTACCATCTAAGAAGCAAGAACCACTTTGGGTGGGATTGAGTTTATGAAGGAAGATCCAAAAAGGTGAGTCTTTTCTGGAGGACTTGGATCATTTTGAAGCCCCGGTGAGAGCACCAGGGGCTGGGTCCCCCAACCAGGGGCTTGGTCCCCCAACCAGGGGCTTCACGAGGCTGCGACCCCGCAACCCCCTTTCCCGCTCTCCGCCTACCCGCTCCGCCTGCGTCGGCCATCAGAGCCTCGCTCGCGGCCCGAGAGCCTCGCATTGACGCGGGCCCGCGCGTGAGTCAAGCCTGCGTCACGGCGCCCCGCCGCCAGGGTGGCCTTTCGGAAAGCGAGGGAACAGTGCACGCTGCGCTCCGCCCAGCTCCGTTCCGCTCCGCAGAGCCGGCGCGGCCAGGGCGCGGGGAGGGCGGCAC